TTGTGGCCGATTCTGTTTAGCTCAAATTTGTTTGGTTTCAGTTTGTTTAATTTTTTTTTTTTTTTTAAAGGAACACCAAAAAGAAGACAACGAAGCTACTACTTATATGAATAGAAGTTATGATAAGTTCAAAGAAGAGAGAGCTGTTAAAAAAATTATTCAAAGACGAGAGGAAGAGGAAACGATATAGATGAACACTACAATTGGACTACGAACGACGTCTTTTTTAAAAAAAATCTGCTTACCAAGCTTTTTATCAAGTTTATTGCAACACCTTCTCAACCCCTCTTTCTCAAGACCATCAGATGAAATCAATGCTCCAAAGGATATTCGAGAGGGCAAACAAACAATGTTATTGAGACCAATAAGAAGATGTATCATGTGGAGAGAAAAGTGCATATGAATATAGGATCTATAATGAACTCCATGATTGAGGATTTTTGTTTTTCTTATGAATTCCATCCACCCTCGAGCTGTCCAAACCCAAGAGAGGGAACTAGTAATAATATAGGTTCCCAGTCACCGGGTTTGCTAATGGGTTTAAAGCATGACAATATTTCAACTCGCAAAATGAGAATGTTTAGGTAATTCCACTCTTATGGGGAATCGATTTCTGGGCTAAATCTACAAGAAAACTCTTCAAAAAATGAGTATCCTTTCTTGATTGTACTTTTGTATTATTGTATACTTAGTGAACTTTGCATGTATTTTGTATGAATAACCTAGATAGAGTCTCTATAGGTTTCTTGTAGTCTTTAATTTTAAGAAAACAAAAATCCTGGTAGCTAGCTAACTTTGGAAGTGTTGTGTATATTTAGTTATATTTAGTTTAGGGTTTTTTTTTGCTAAAAATAACCTAAAACTTGATTCTGAATACAAAAGTAGACTATTGAAAAAATATTTGACAAAAATAATTTAAAGGGGTAATAAAAAGACCATTTAATCTTGTATAACCAAACAAAAAACGAATGTCTTTATTACCGTTTAAACCCTGACGAAGTCTACTAAAGACTTAATGAAGTCTACTAGTAGACTTCTTTAAAACGAAATGAAGTCTACTATGTAATTAAATAAAAAAATTTAATTTTAAAATTTAGAAAAATTTATTTTAATTTCAAAAATTACATTCATAAATTAGGTAATTATAATCCAAATGTACATAAATTATTTTTTTATATTGATAACTTTAAATTTATGTTTTTAATTAGGAAGAAGAAAATCTATTATTTAGGTTTTAAACTTAGTAGACTTCTATATTGAAGTCTACTAAACCGAATAAATTAACCTAATCAAAATATAAACCAAAATTAAATCGGAAATAACTTCTCCTAACCAAAAAACATTCTATAACTGGGTAAATTTACTTAATCCCAAAAAATCAAAAATAATTATTTTAACCAAGACATAAACCAAAATTGAACCAATAATTCAAAACCAATAATTATTAATTTAACCAAAATTTATACCTCCATATAAGGAAACTCAGGACTTGTAATCCTAATTTTTTGTAAAAAAAAAAAAAAACTCAATCTCTCTCTCAAACGGCACTTCTCCTCTGCCTCGCCCAGTCTCGCCGTGAATCTCTTTTGCCAGTCCCCTCTCTCGACTCCGGCCCTCTCTCCTCACTCTCTCGCTGCCGTCTCTCTCTCTCGTGCTTCACACCACCACCTCTTGCCGGTAAAAGACCACCATTCTTCATTCTCAGGTATTTTTTTTGGTTTAGATCTTGGGTTTCTAGGGAAAGGACTAGATAGATTTGTGTATCAACAAACAGTGAAGAGTTTTGACTCTCTTTCTTCTGTTTCTTCGTTTAGCTTCTGAGGACAAGAATCCGTTGGAAGAGAGAGAGAGAGAGAGAATTAGTGACCATTGACTGGCTCTTAATCTGTTTTCAATTTTGCGTTTTACATCAAAATTACCGACTCGCTACTTTCTCCATCCTCGTATAATGTCCTGGGTTTTGCTTTTGGTGTTCGACCTAGTCCGTTTTTTTTGTTCCCCTTCCGATTAAGTTATCCGATTATTTAGAAAGTTGGCTCCTATTTCTCCTTTCCGATTCATTATGTGACTATGTAGAAAGCTTCCGATCTTTGTGCTGTTAGTAGATTTAACTTGTCTTAAAAACGCGTTTTCCTTTCTGAGTTTTTGGTGAGATTGTTTTTGGGATTTTCTGATTTGTACTTCAGGTAATTCGATCCCTTTTATGAAATTCCGATAGCTCTCTTACAAAAACTTGATTGTTTCTGCCTCGAGTCAGCAATCATTTTGGTACTAAGTTGGTGTATGACTTAGTTACGTCTGTGATTTGATATGTCAGATTTTTCACAGGCTGTGTGATTTTCTTACAAACTGAGGCCAGAAGCATTGATTGGGTTATTTGAAGTAAAGGAAAAGCAAAAAGAACAAGCTCAAAATGCTAATAGAGGAGGAGCAAAAAAAACAAGCTTCTATGAAGAAGTAATCTGATGATCATGACGTGATGAAAAGCAAAGCGGTCACTAGCCACTAGCCACTTCACTGGTTCCAGATGTTTTTTTCAAAATTGGTTTGATTTCTTTACTGTAACTTTTGTGGTGTTGTGATATGAACTTGTCTTCTCATTTTAACCTTGTATATCTTTGTGATCTAGGTCTTTTGTAATACTTTTAATATCAACAAAATATGTTATTCCTCTTTTGCCCATATAAACGAGCGAAGCTTAGTGCTATCAAAAATAAAATTAAACGTTATCAATATATACAACCTGGAATGCTGTGAATAAAATTACGTAGTAGCTTAGTGTAAAAACAAAACTGAAGAAGTAATGAACAAAAGTAGCTTAGAGTATAAACAAACGTGAAGAAGTAATGAACAAAAGATTGACTCTTAAATAACAAGATGAATGATCATTTTACTTAAGATTATACAAGAGAACAGGAGATATATGATCATTTTACTAAATGAAAATAAAAATTTAGATAAGATCAGATTTCTCTTTAACAAAGACAACCATCAGATTTCCCTCAACCATCTTAACAATACTTATGAAGTAGACTTCAACAATGATGAAGTAGACTTCAAAAACTATGATATATAATAGTTTTGTAGTAAATGATGCCTCATAAATGATAGGGTTGTAAGTTTTCCAAAGATACAAAACCATTACTCAAAAAAAAAAAAAATCCTCCTTGCCATTATCCACCACAAAATACCACAATTTCTTTTCTATCAAGTAGACTTCGTGTGCAGACTTCATCCGTAAACTGCTGGAGAAGTCTACTTTGATAAGCTAACTAGTTTAAAAATCAAAAATTCTGATTCTGCAATAAATATCGACTTAAATGAAATGAAAATCATTGAATAGTTCAATCACTTGCTAACAAGCATTTCGAAACCAAAAAATTAAAAAAATACTTTATAAATATGCAAAAAAAAAAATAGATACAAAAAGTAGACTTCCTAGTTAGACTTCCTTAGTAGTTTCAGGAGAAGTCTATTGAAGTCTACTTTAATAAGCTAAGTAGCTTAAAAATCAAAACTTCTGATTCAACAATAAATATCGAATAAAATGAAATGAAATTCACTGGGTAGTTCAATCACTTACTAAAAAGCATTTCTAATCCAAAAAATAAAAAAACTTTATAAATTTGCCTAAAACGCGTTTTTAAAAAAACTGCAATAAGTAGACTTCTACAGCATACTTCAAACGTAGACTGGAGGAGAAGTCTACTTTTTCATAGTGAAGTCTACTAAAGAAGTCTACTAAAAAACAAGTTATTTTTGCAATTGACTAATCCATTGACTTTTCCTTTAGTAGACTTCAGAAGTAGACTTCCAGCCAAAAAAGTTTCTTTAGCATTTGACCGATGCATTGACTAATAAAGTAGACTTCTATTGTAGACTTCATGTAAGAGTAGACTTCTCTGACAGTCTACTTTTGAAGTCTACTTTTTCAATAGAAGTCTATGGAAAAAAATAGGTTATTTTTGCAATTGAATTTTTTGAGTAGACTTCACTGTGAAGTCTACTCAAAAATAGATTCCTTCTAAGTTTGACCAAAAAATATAAGTAGACTTCTCAAAGAAGTCTACAGTTTTTAGACTTCTTTGGGAAGTCTACTAAAGTTTTTCGGAATTTTTTGAATTTTTTTTTTTAAATTGTAGTCAAACACTAAAATGACCTATACGTTTTTGGTCAAACTACAAAAGTAACTTAAACGTAGACTTTTTATGCAGACGTAAATAGTAGACTTCATAAGGAAGTCTATATTAAAAAGTCAAAATATGGTCAACTACAAAAATAACCTCTTTTCTTTCGTAGACTTCTTATGCCTTCAAACGAAGTCTATTAGGCTTTTTTTTTGTTTTCAAAGGATATCGAGTAGACTTCTTGTGCAGTTTAATGAAGTCTACTTTCGCGATACAGATATAGATATTACTAAAATTGAAGTGTATCATTACCTATATCGGTTTTGAGTTTGTTTTTAGGTCTCTCATGCACCCACAACTCTGAATTTGACCCAAAAAAAACAACCCAGGTCTTGATTAAGTTGAAATCCCCAAAAATACATAACCTTTGACATTGTAACTCAGCTCAGAAATTTTAGAGAAGAAATTAGGAAAGAATACAGAAGGTTATGAGTGTATGAGCTCTCATATTAACTTATTACAGCTTTAAAATTGGTTGAGAAGTATTTATTCTATTTTTGGGGTTGTTCATGGTGGTTGAAGATATTGAAGAAGATGGTATTATTGTAATAAAAAAGGTTTTAGGAGGTTCCATGAGACTTTAGCCAATATTTTTAAAAAATCGAAATAATTGGTTTATAATGGCATTTTCGTTAATATCTTGAGTGAAAAGGATAGAATTGTGACAAAATGGCAAAAGTTGGAGAGAGAAAAAAGGTTAGTTTGGTGTTTTACTTTAAAATTCAGGTTAAATCTGAAACACTCCTTTTAGTTTACAGTGTTTTCTTTAAGACCCAAGAGTCCAAATAATGAAATCGCACTGTAAAACCAAAGACAATAACAGAAACTACTGAAGATTTTATTACGCAAAGAGCGCAGATTCCAACCCGAACACAGAAACATTACAATATTAGACTTTATTCTCATAGTTTCTTTTCTTAAACCTGAGTTACTTTATTACAAACGCATGCACCAATGTTTACTTAGAGTCATACGTGCACGTACGTGCATATACAAGACTTAGTGACTGGGCTGAGTCTCTGCTCCGTGTCCCCCGCGGCCACCGTGGCCTCCTCCTCCGTAGTGTCCTCCTCCGTTGTAACCTCCATGGCCACCACCATATCCATCAGGTTTCACAGTTACCTCACTCTCTGACTTCACCATGGCTGTCCCAAAAACAATAAAAATTAACAATATTTCAAAAGTATTGTCTAGCACGTGCAAATGTGCGTTCCTCTACCCATTTTCAAATTGAACACTTTTAAAAATATATATATGCATAGAAATTTGGAATGAATTATGTAGTTTAGTTACCAGGTCCAGGATTACTCTGAACAGCTGCTACTCCGTGTCCCCCACGGCCTCCGTGTCCTCCGTGGCCTCCTCCTCCTCCGTAGTGTCCTCCTCCTCCGTGGCCACCACCATATCCATCAGGCTTCACAGTTTCCTCACTCTCTGACTTCACCGTGCCTGTCCCAAAAAGTAAAAACCAACATTATTTCAATAATAATATTGTCTAGCACGTGCAAATGTCCATTCCTTATCCATATTTGAAATTGAACACTTTTAGAAATATGTAAATGTAAAGAAATTCGGAATAAATTATATAGTTTTTAGTTACCAGCTGGTCCAGGATTACTCTGAACAGCTGCTACTCCGTGTCCCCCACGGCCTCCGTGTCCTCCGTGGCCTCCTCCTCCGTAGTGTCCTTCTCCTCCGTGACCACCACCATATCCATCAGGCTTTACAGTTTCCTCACTCTCTGACTTCACCGTGCCTGTCCCAAAAACAGTAGGAAACAACATTATTTCAAAAATAATATTGTCTAGCACGTGCAAATGTCCATTCCTTTATCCATATTCGAAATTGAACACTTTTAGAAATATGGAAATGTATAGAAATTCAGAATTAATTATGTAGTTTTTAGTTACCAGCTGGTCCAGGATTACTCTGAACAGCTGCTACTCCGTGTCCCCCACGGCCTCCGTGTCCTCCGTGGCCTCCGTGTCCTCCGTGGCCTCCGTGTCCTCCTCCGTAGTGTCCTCCTCCTCCACCACCATATCCATCAGGTTGCACAGTTTCCTCACTCTCTGACCTCATCAACAAAATTTGAAAAATATTGTTAGCACGTGCAAATGTGCACTCTCCCCGATTTCAAGAAAAGAATTTCTCTTAACAACATTTTAATATAAAGTCGGATCTCTAGTTAAAAGAAAATAAAAAACTCGAAACATCTAAATAGCTTGGGAGGGTCTAATACGTATAACAAGAACTAAACATCATACGTAAAGGTGTATCTTTTCTTATTAGGACATGAACATCATGCATAAGTGTGCTTTTGACTAAGTCTGTCCAAATAATTAACTATCGTTCAAACCAATTTTCCAGACTTAAAACGGACGAAATAGCTGTACAAAATTATCAAATGGTAGGTTACTTCGGGTTTGATTACCTTCAGAGATTTAGTAGTCAATAAAATAAATCTTACGTACCCAACTGCCTTGCTGAGACGACGAGAAGAAATGCAAACACACCCAACAAAAGCAAAGTTTTGGAAGCCATTTTCTTTAACTGCTTATAAGTTATACACTCTCTTGTTTTGTGGAGAAAGAAGTGATGAATAAAACGTTAGCCTGCATGCACGCTATTTAAAGAAAACGCGGAAGAGTGAATGAGAACAAGTCAAATTAAATAATTCATAGTGCGGTAAAAAGAAGTGTTTTTTTAAGAAAAAGTGAAAGGGGGATTTAGTGTATCACAACAAAATTTAGATAATTGCATTGTTTGCAGAGAAGGACAAAATTTTAGAATAAATTATAAGAATTTCGTTTGCTCGAGCGAGCAAGAGGGAGTTTTAACATTCTAGAAGAGTTTATCCTTATTGAATTTTTACAGAAAATATGTATAAGTTTTATTGCATGGTCTTTTTCATATCTATATCGAATTTATCCCCCAAAAACAAATTATATAGTTTACATATCTTTTTTTGTATCATGCTATCTTTCTTTAGGCATCTAGAATAGATTTATATATGACATAACAGCGTGTGATTTATATATTATTAGGATTTTATCTAAATGATGAAAAAGGAGTCAATATAATCCTTTAATGCATGCATTTATATATTAGTTTCTCCTTATACATGCATTTCAAACGAATACATATTTTAAAATCTATTTAAAAAATAATTTGCTACATATTCACCCATATTTACCGATATTTTTCCATTTTCGTATAACCACATCAATTCTTGCAATTTACTTAATCCATCGTCCTACAACTAAAGTGGTAAGGATTTATCATTTTTTTTCTTTTGAAAAAGGGTAAGTAGATAAGTATGAGAAAAGTATATATGAATACGTTGCGTCGATCCCAATATGGTGGGTTGTTGGATTAATTTGTTAATAAATTTAATATTAAAACTTTAACCTCACTAGTCTTTGATTAGACACAGAGCGATCGGACAGGTGATGTCAAAAAGAGAGAGAGAGAGTAATCGGAGAGGTATATTCATCACGGTAAATAACCATGTTTATCAAAATCATATTTGGTATTTTAGGGCTCTGAAATGTAACAGCGTTTTTAGCTGTGCGGAAAAAGCGATTTTAGAGATAGGTACAGTCTAACTGCGGTACGTGCGGAAAAATATATTTGCGAAACAAATACGGTTTCTATATAATTAGCAGTGCAGAATAATGTTTCATTGGTGAAAAAACATTGCGCTCCACAAAAAATATTTGAATGGTGAATAAGACTAAAGCGGTACAGATTACAGATTATAAACAAATATATTAAAATATATATAACTAGTGTAATTATAATTAAGTTATTTATTTTAGTTAAAGAATAAATAATTTTATATATTTATGAACTTTAAATAATCAAATTTTATTTCAAGTAGAAGTTTATTTTCAAAAATACATATATTACGAAATAAGATAAAACGATAATTCACAATAAATAAAATACACTTCAATAAAAACATTCATCAAAATATTTTAGTTCTAAATTATTTGTTTTGTATTGATAAAGAGACATTTTCAATATATTTATGAACTATAGATTATAAATTTATTAGTTAAGTAAAAGTTACAAATTGAAATTAACCAAATTCTGATAAGAGCTTAATTGATTTCTAAAAATGATATTATTTATTTTTACTACTAATTTTAGATTTATTTTTATTTAACAGGTTTTATATATTTGTAAGGGTTATGGATGGGAGGAAGTGAGAGAATTAGTTTTTTTTTTGTCAAAGTAACTTTTATTAATTAAAATAAAAAAAAAAATATTACACAAAGCGGTTTTTGCCTTGGACCGCAGGAGTTAGAGGGTGTTTCATTTGTAATAGCGGTACAGAGTTTTATCCTTTGTGTAAAACCGCAAATTGCAATTTTTTTATACAAGAAAAAAACGCAAATTTTTATGCAAGATAGCTTGATTGGTGACTATATGACGTTTTGTACTTTATTTGGTAGAAATCCGCTTTTACTTTGTTATCATTCAACGCCTTAGTTTAAACTATAAGAAAATGTGGTAAGACTAAAAGATATGACATTATTAATTAAAAAACATAACCATAACCATATTGAACTTAGTCTTTATACAAACAAAATATATTTGGAGAGGATATATTTTCTCCACCAATAAAATGTTGGAGAGGATGTTTTCTATTGATATTATTCTTTTGATGTTATTGTTGGCTTTTACAGTATTCTTCTAATTTGGTCTCTGCTCAATATGCATAATTTTGCCCGATGATGATGCAATGGATGACCTTACACTTCACATTTGGTGTCTGACTTTCCATATATGTCTTTGCTTGATCATGTAGTAGTGAAAACTCAGTTTAAACATGTATCTACTGATCTCGGTAACAACAAACAAATATTAGTAAGAAACATCAAAAGAATAATATCAATAGAAAATAAAATTGATTTGTGAATATAGTAAATAACTAAAATAAAATAATGTTTTTCATTTATCTATCTTTTCATAAAAATTGGCTACTACTAATCATACATCCACAACAATGGCGAATCAGAAATCTATTTTTACCCGGAGCAAATATATTATTTACGGATCTGTTTTTATAAAAGATTATTTACAGATCCGACATATATTTATCATACATAAGTCTATTTAATGGCAGTAGTACATAGTTATTATAAGATCATTTTTATAATGTTAAGTATGAAACGGTTATTATAAGATAGAAAAAAACCGGAAATCTTGAACTATTTTCAGTCCTAACTGTTTATGACAATATATACTATATTCATTTGTTTATATTTTTGGGAGATAACATAGGAAAAAAATATTTAAGGATATATTTTACTTTAACAATATCTAGAATAGATTTTGACATGAATTAATACATCAAAATAAAGTATGTTTGAAATGTCCTAAGTGTAATCATTATTGTTTCTATTAAGTAAGAAAATTGAACCGGTGCACAAATTAATTCAAAGAAGTGCTCTTTTTCGTTTTTGACGACGGTTCCATTTTGTTTGTCTTTTATTTATACAATAGTTTCATAATTCATAATAACTTCCTCATTCTTAGAGAATATTGCTTCTATAAGTGTCTCACCACACCCAACCCATAAGTGTCTTATGCTTCTATAGTCACTTTGTCAAGCTTGGGCCATCAATGATAGAAAGAATACTTATAATAGTTTTCCTGGAATTTTGTTTGATGAACACATGGTTAAATAGATTTTATAACTAATAATGAAGCTTATAACCGGAATATTTTTTTTTACAAGGCAGTATTACTACGAATACGGTATATCCCCAAAAAATACAACTATATGAATGTTGAGTATAACTGGAAATACATGCACAATTACATTTGGACAGATGTTCTCTACCTGAACACATGTCTTATTGGCTGAAACAAACATACCCCACCATATTATTTATTATTTATTGGGTTTTATCCACGAAACTCAAATTTGTGTTTTCCTCCCCAAATCAGACATTTCCAAATTTGAGTTCTCCCCAAACATCAAAATTCAACAAATATCTGGGTTTATGCCCAAAACCACAAAAACTCTTTTTTTTGCAAAATAACATTTTTTTGCAAAAATGCCAAGTCTCGGCTCGTCGTCCGATTCAGAGCTTTTAAGTTGTAGCCCTCCAGCCGAAATGTACAAAGGCGTTGGAATCCCGCGATTCTGTTTTTGTCATCATCGACCAATCATCAAAATTTCCTTCACCGTTTTGGATCCGGGAAGAAATTCTTCGCTTGCAATAAGGAATACATAAGCAAAGTTCAGCTGTTGATTGCTTTTCATTTCGTTGCATTTGCCAAAAATATTTATACAGTTTCGGTCCTGTAGAATATCAGATGTCATTTCTTCAAGTGGTGTGATGAAGCGATGATAGAACAGCTTCAAGATCTTTGGCGTGATGTGACCGAGATGGTCGACCAATGTGGGTGGAGAACAGCAATTGACCAGATTCACTTGACAGAGATTTCTCAGCTACAGGAATCGGTAAGCAAGCTGAAGGAGGAAATGGTTGAGGCTTCTAGGTCACATTTACTCCTTCGTGAGGTGGTTTGAGACTGGGTTTTGAAGGAAATGGATAGGGAATTGGATCAGATCCGACAAGATAGGTTATTTAAGGAAGTTAAGGTGATGATTGTTCTCTCTGTTCTTTCTGTGGCTATGGTTTCTTTAATTATCTACCTGTTCAAGTAGTTAAGATTAGTTGTAGTAATCAAAACTTAATAAAGGTTAGTGAAGTTATTATCAAGATGTACTAAACAAGTTTCTATGTCCTCGTATATTTCTGAGTTTTCCAGTTTGATATAATTCTCCCCACTTTTCTAGTTTTCAATTTCCCGATTAACATATGGTCAACCAAATGATACTGAGTTATTCCAGTTTTCAATTTTCCGAATAACATATGGTCACACCAAATGATACTGAGTAATACCAGTTTTCAGTTTCCCGAATAACATATGGTCACACCAAATGATACTGAATAATACCAGTTTTCAATTTCTTGAATAACAGATGGTCACACCAAATGATACTGGTTAATACTAGTTTTCAGTTTCCCGAATAACATATGGTCACACCAAATGATACTGAGTTATACCAGTTTTCAGTTTCCCGAATAAAATATGGTCACACCAAATGATACTGAGTAATACCGGTTTTCAGTTTCCCGAATAACATATGGTCACACTAAATGAAACTGAGTTATACCAGTTTTCAGTTTCCCGAATAACATATGGTCACACCAAATAATTCTGAGTAATACCGAAATATTAGAGTTTTCTGTTTTATCGGCTGAGATAATATAGTGGAGAGAATAACACGGGTAAATTTAAACTATTTTTTTATAAATAAATATTTTACAATAAAAGCAGAAATTAAAAACACTACAACTATAGATTTTAAATAACAAAAAACATAAAAACATAAAATTCATTATTATTGGTGAAAACACCATGAATTAATTCATGGCGTGTGCCTCGGTCATCAAGCAGGCCTCCTTCACGTACCTCTCCGGCTCCAAGGCGCACATGCGGGCGACGTCATCGAAAACGTCGTCGTCCTCCACCTTAGGGTGGAGCAGCATGTCATGGAGTGCTTGG